ATCATATCAGATCAGTACTGGTCCATACTATGCCTCAGATATTGGCATTGATATTGGAAGTGAAAAAAGTGGATCAGTGCATCTGTACCAGAGATGTAATCTGAAAGCCAAAGAGAGCTTCTTTACTTGATCTGCAGCTAATGGAAAGCAGACCTTCCGATTCAGATCGTCGCAACGTTTTTCACAGTGACCCCCAAGAGCTACCTCACCGCCTCTCTGTCTGGTTTTAAACAGCAGGGCAGAGGACAAATGGCATCGAACAGCATGGTGAGCAGGTACCGCTGAGAGAATCTCTGGTACCTGGCTGCTGGCTCTACAGGACTTGTGTGCTCACAGCTACATTCAGACAGAGCACACAAGTAACAGAAAGACTCCATTCAACTACACTTCTGCCAGCTGACAGTAACTCACTCTGGGAAAAGATTCAAAAGGATAAAAAAGACAAACAATGGGACTGTATATGTGTGTGTGTATATATACACACACACACACATACATATATATATATATATATATATATATATATATATATATATATATATATATATATATATATAAAATGAAATTCCACAATTTTCACTTTCAGCAAAATACATGCAAACATTTTATTTACTTCACTGCTTAGCGGGAAGAAACACATTGACAATAAAAATCAGTCTGCAGTTAGTCATTTCATTACTTTGACTGAATCATGATAAGCTGCCTTATGAGCAAAACTGCTACACTGCTTTCATCGACTTAAGCTTTTTTGTTAAAGGTAGCAAACATCTCATTCATATTCAACTCTAACTTTTAGTTAAATTAGAAGAGTTTGAAACAGGAAGGAGGGGCTGAGCAAGTCAACCCAGCTCTGTGTGTGGGAGCTAAGAACAGAAGAGAACAGCTAGAAACTGACAAAAAAGTTATGCCTTAATTTCTCACTGTCTTCAGCATAGAGCCTTTAAAACCACAAAATAAAATCTGAATATTTTTCTATATCAACTCTTGTGCTTTAAGTGTTACCTTTAAATTTGATACTCTCCAGATATTCATTTCCATCTACTTATTTGATCTCAGTTACCAAGGACATGCCAAAACTAAAAAAAACGCTTAAAAAAGCAACTTAAGTTATAATTTAAATAGGCCATAACTTATATTGGGAGCCATTTCATTAAATCAATGTTTATGAGGAATTTTATAAAGAGGAGTTACTCATTAAAGCTTTTGTATTTAGAACCTTAAATTTCTGTAAAGGTGTAACAGAGATTAGATAAGTCAGACTGAACAAAACTCGAATGGCTGCAACATTTGAATTTTAGTTTTACTTCTCCATAGGCTGCTTACTGAGAATAAAACATGTTTGATGTGCATTACTAGTCATTTTTGATCCTGCAGCTTGAATGTGATTTAAAAACATTTTAAACCACATTTTACTTTACATTTCAATGGAACCTCATCGACCCCCCCCGAAATTGCTCAAGAAATTTTCATATTTATGGTCCCCCTCAATAATGACATGGAATTTGGTAGCAAATAGAGTACAGTAGAACTGTCCACCTAAGGACAGCATTAATCAGAAACACCGCAAACAAAGGGCTCTTGATTATAACGGGCAATAAAAGCATATTAATATTTAATGGAAGAATGGAAAATGACAATATCAATGATAAAGGCTGGATTTTGAAATAAATATGGAGGAAGTGATCTATTGGTCAGTACATAAGGCCACCTTTTTTTTTTCCAAGATGGAAAAAAAAATTCTGCTTCTACTGGAACAAATTTGAACACCTAAATGGGTTTCAACCAGTGGCATATATAGCTCTATTTTAGGGGTGCCCATTCTGTTTCAAACTGAGTTTATACACCTCTGGAAAAAGTTAAGGTTCTCTGATTTTACCCTTTTTAAGTTTATGTTTGAGTAAAATGAACATTGTTCTTTTATTCTATGAATCACTGACATGTCTCTTAATTTTGTTTGTAAATGTATGTAAATAAGCAGTTAAGATTTAGAAAATGCAACAACGAATATCTTCTCATAGGTTTTAGTCCTACTGGGGGCAAAGCACCACTAAAGATCAAATCCTAGAAACACCCCTGGTTTCAACACATTGTGGGTCGATAAAGTTGAATTTCACCACTAATTCACAATGCCCCACAGTGCCTAAGAGAAATTTGTCTTTAGTTTCTCTCAACTTTTGAAAAGTAATAAGATATTAATAATGATTCATTCAATTTTGTAAGCGTGGCCATTAGAAAGCCATTGTCAAAAAAGTGTGACAAAATAGTTCAATGGCATTAATACTACTGCACTGGTGAATGTAATTATCCAGCTGTATAATGGTTGTACAACTCATTAAGTGACGCAGTAGCGGGTGTGGTCAACACTTTCCTTGTAAATGAAAAACATTTCTGACAGCTGCGTTTTACGAAGTTAATGGGCGTACTTTATTACTATACTTTATTATTATAACTTGTAAAAGTTAAAGAATATCCAACTACACAAAGGTTTTAAATCATGAAGAGAACACTTTTCTCTACTTGCTCGAGCCTCCACTAGCCTTTTCTGGCACCCTAGCATATAAACATGACAAACATTACATAACTTGCTCGAACTGGGAATGTGCTAACAAATGTAGCCGAGCACCGGGAACAGTAAGCCCCGCTCAGAGAGTGAAACAGGGAGCTGTCACTGCGAGCAGTTGTATTTTCTGGGCCGGTGTAGTTGCTGTGTACGTGTTGAACGTCAGCAAGTCATCAGGTTTGACAACCTGATGCCGTATCAGCCTGAGAGCCTGCTGGCCTGTATCATTATGGCAGAATGAAAAGCCCAAACTACGGAGTCTCTAAAACCAAACCACCTTACCGAGACAAACAGGCTTTAGTCTTACCGAGAACCAAATGGAGGTTTGAAGGATGTTTTTAGCGGCGCTGAAACGTCCCCCCAGCCCTGGTCCGACTGGATGTTTGGGTTTCTTCGGGGTGTCTCACTCAGAGGAAGAAGAAACTTCCACCATCTTCGTGAGCTCTCGTCACGTGATCGAAACAAGGTGGGGCGCATGTTAGTCAACCCCCCCCCCACCACCCTCTTCGCTCTATGATTGGATCAGATAATAGACTATTTGGACCAATGAGCGATCAGTAAACATGCTGACGCATTTACGGCTCCATTTCGCACCTGTTAAACAATTTAATGTGCGGCGTATAAGTAGTTTTATTTGTCAAGTAGGCCTATTTTATTTGTTTGCAGAATTAAGCTGTCATAAAAGCATAAGTCCCAAATAAGATTGAATTCGTCTATTGTTTTTAAAGAAAATATGTTTCATTCATACAGATTGTGTTAAAATTAAGAGTTATTTTGATTTAGTCAGCAGTCATATTTCATGGATTTATTGGTGCAAATGGGAATCATAACAAAAATAAGTTGACATAGCCTACAATGTACTGTAAGAACAAGCTTTCAAAAAATATTGTTATGAGAATTTCTATTCAGAAATATTTATGTCTTATTTGTAATTCTGAATTACAAAAAAAAAAAAAAAAAAAAAACAAACATATAAAATGTTTAGGTATAGAAATTGCGGGTGCTATTAGATGACGGTACGAATTGGCTTGTAGTCAGCTATGGCCAAGGCAAATAATTTCAAATAGTTAACATAGGTGAATCTCTAAGACGGAGTAAACATTTACAATCGTTTCGTTCAACGGTATGAAATGGTGAAGGGGTGAAATGTCGGAAGACCCTCGTTGTTTTGCATACAAATTGGTCAAATATTTTTTGTGGAGCCCAAATTCTTAATTATACAACTGGTAAAAAGTTCACACTAAACAACGTTAATCACGACCTGTTTAATGCAGTTTTTAATCTAATTATTTTCACCTAAAAAAAAGTGAACACGTTAACACTTCATTTAATTACATTGAATCAAGTTTTTGTTCTCTAAATTATTCTAGAATTCCTTGAGTACGCACCATTTTGTCACCAAGAAAGCAGAGCGACGTCCCGGCCAAGCGGAGTTTGCACACCTTTCAAAGAGCGCATGAATATGATGATCCACTCAACTCGTCCAAGAAGGGTCTGCCTGGTGCTATCATCTGCCCAAAGAGAATATGCCATCAGTTTCCAAAAATACTACCAGAATAAAATAGAAGAATATATTTTCTTGACCTACAATGGGCAAATACAAGTGTACCATACATGTTCAAATTAAGGTAAGAAATACAGAAAGAGAAAAATAAGAACCAGAGACTGTAATATAAGGGTAAATTCACAATATAAGAAAAAATAATAGCCAGTTAACATTACAGCTCATATTAGTAACGGTAATAAAATTAAAAAAAAATCGTAATATAATTATACACAAGCTAAACAATTACTTAGATTAGAATCAGAATAAAGATAATGAGTTCCTTCAACAAAACAATACATACATATACATTATTTAATTTAATAATATCGTTTGTATTAATATAACTTTGTAAATGCACGCGCACACACACACACACACACACACACACACACACACACACACACACACACACACACACACACACACACACACACACACACACACACACACACACACACACACACACACTTGCAGGTAATTTCTGACCGGCAATTATGCTGATTTAAGAGGAAAAACTCGTTCCGCTTCTGACCGGGTCATACGCCGGTGAGCTGTTAAGGAACAAGTCCAGCAATATGACATCTGACCATCCAACTTTAACCAGCAGATGACGCTGTTTTGCTGGTCATGAAGCAACAAGACTCCATAATAGTTCTCTTTATGAATGCCTCTCCGGTACGTGTGCTATAGTTAAAATTGTTTGTTTTATAGTGAAGTCCATATTTATCTCCTAAAATAAATTAGAATCAGATGTTAAGACTGCCAAAGTTTTAAACAAAAATTTAAATCACAATTTGTTTTATTTTGAAAGTACCGACAGGACGGGGGGCACGTGATGTCGGCTGACTTGACAGCTGCAGCTCATCCTGTGGGCTTGGTCAGAGTTGTGAGAGAGGGAATGAGACGCTTTCCACCTCGGGTCATGCGAGCACTGGAGGAAAGTAAAGTTTGACATCTCAATCAAAAAAGGGTAAGTCACAAAATTTTAACTTTAGGTAGGTTTTACGGAATTACTTCTGTTTTATGACTGAATGAGGCATCAAGTGAAAGTGCAGTAGTGCTATTAAAAAGTAATACTCTTACACAGCTCAAGGAGGAATACTTGTCTTTTTTTATATTAAACAGAAAAAGCTGGCAACGCATTTAAAATCAAAATATATTGTGGCAAATGCAGCATTATGCAGCAACTAAGCATTTAATATCAATCAAACAAATAATACGATGCACATTCTAAGTTCCTATTTGAAACCTAATAGCAGTGTGTTTAAGACGCAATCACATTAAGTCAGTTATTGTAACTGCTTCTCTTGTCATAAAGGATCCGAAGGTTGATGCAAGTGTTTTTGTCTGCTTTTACTGTTGCTTAAACAGCTGTTGTTGCAGCGGTAGATTGCTTTATCTAAGTAAGGAGAGGAAACACTGAAGCTCTATTAAATCACTGCCATCCTTGTTATCAAATGTCATGTCAGGATTACTCTGAGCTTGCTAGTGCTGACCGAGGACTCGCCCTTCATCTACACTGCTTCACATTAATGGACATCAAAAATACTTTACTAACCTCAAAGGAAAATGCTGAGGTGACTCATTATCATCCAAGATAGTCATTGTGTATGAAGGATTCCACATATAATAGCAGTCTGTGTTACAGCTGATCTCAAAATGCCCTTTACCGACATTTAGTAGGATTATTTGTAATCTTGTTCATTTGGGCTCAGAAGGGTTTATGTTTAAATAATATCAGTAATGAGCAAACACCTGAAGATAAGATGCATCTGTGCATCCTAACATATTTATTCTGTTTTGGCTTTGTTTTATTACCGAGGAATATCTGTTTAGAAACAGACAGAGATGAATAGTTTGTTTGTTTTTTAAACTAAAACAGCCATCCGCACCAGGTTGGCATGATGTGAAAAAAGTAATTGTACCTTAAAACTGGTTGTGACACATCAGCAAGAACCGAATATGGGTTTGTTACATCTCTTTGTTTATGCAGAGTTAATTCATGTCTATTGAAGGATGTTCAAGCATGCGCTGCCTGGTTAGTCATGAAAGAGAATCTTCTTTCACCAGGAGAAGATTATCTGAGTGAGATTCATGAATGGTGCAGGAACTTTTTCCATTACAATTTTCAGATAGAGAGCAGAATTTATTATTCCCTAACATCCTGGTTCTTGCTGGGATTATATTATGTTTTTCATAAGGATGGTTTGGATATTATTCTCAAGTCTCTTAACTGGAAACAGAAGAGCTCAAACCCCTCTGGTTTTAAAGACTTTTCACTGGTTCTTGATCATTTGAAATTTCATTTTGGATTTAATGTTCATGGAAAAAAGGAAATAAATAAAAAATAAATCTGTATGTGAAAATTTTATCCTTGCCACTGTACATAGGCTTTGGTTTTTTTAAAGATAGATTTAAGACATTATCTGGGGGATTTTTTCTGTCATAATCTAACAGCACACATTTTCAGTCTGAAAACAGGATTTTGTCTCTTTTGTTCTCAAAATTTTTAATACTTTTGCTTACATTTTTATTTTGAAAGCAGGACTTCATGTGTGCTCTTGGATTATGGCAAAAAAATTCCCCCATAACATTGTAGTTAAAGAAAGTTGCATTTTTTCACATTAAATCTACTAACAGTGTAAAAGGAGAACAGCCAGATGCAAACCAGAATAATTTCAATTGCTCCCAGCAGCCTAGAAGAGCTTGCAAAAGCTTTTGTTGTTTTTCCCTCAAATAATTTGCATTTCTCCTGGGTTATTTTCATGGATGTCAGCAATCACTACAGCACCACATGCAGACTGGCTGGTTTTGCTTTAAAGGTAATTCCCAGTAGTGCATTTTCTTGTCACTCTAAAATATACACCAACACAAAAAAGATTCGTTATGAAGTATGAATTTTCCCTGTGGTTATTCACAAAATATGAAGTTTGTCAAAAGTTCACAGGAGGGGAAAGAGAAGGTCATCTGCTTTAGATTGATGACATCACGAGAGTTCTAGCAATTGAACCGCTCTGCTAGCATGAGAATAGTGTAGAGACGCACCAATTAGCTCATCAGAAACTGGCCAAATCGATGGTCTCCAGATCAAATACTAAAAATCGGACTGTTTTTTATGTATATTAAGTGCATCAAAACTATAAACTCCCTTCATTTTTGGTCTGTAAACACACCATTCAAACAGAGATGCTTTGGTTGCATTTTTTATGTTTATTTATAAAAAACAATTAGGGGCATATATGGCATGTTTTATGATTCAAAAATAGGGTAATTCTTTCATGTTTTGTTGGACTCAAAATTACTTCCTGTACCAAAGAACCTTAACCATTAGGGGTTTTTTTCTCAAATAAAAAAAAAAAAGCATGAGTCGGTCATAATCTAAGTCGGTCAGACCTAAAAAGAAAATAGTATGGATGTCACCATTGGCACAAGCCAAACCTGAAAGCAACATTTCTAGGTATGCTGATAGATTTCAACACGGAACCTGAAGCAATTTGAGCAAAGGGAGTTAACTTTATTCATTTAAGCCAGAGTTTGACTTTAATGGCACCCAAGTCATGACTGATGGCGAAGCTGATGGTACAGGCTCCACTACAGAGGGATGTTTGGTTGATAAATGATAATAAACACATCTATCAGACAGTGTGATTTTCTTTCAATAGCTGGTCTTGAAATTATCACAGAGGATCTTTTTAGTTAATCTGACCCTTTCCATCCAAACTTCGGTCTTCTTCACAAACAACTTCCATGTGTTCTGCTTCCAGGCTTCCCTGAAATCCATGTGTTCCCCACAGAAAAACATTTATGTGGGCAAAAAACTTCACTGTTAAAGAAGGAATTTGATTGAAAACATGAAAATAAAAAGAAAAAAATCAAAATCAAAACTATGTCATTTTTCTTAGTCTTCACAATCATGGATAGGTTGGATTTTCAGAGAAAACCACAAGAAAATACTTTCTTGTTTGTGCTGCATGTGTATATGATACAATGTGGAAAGGTTCAAAGGGTAGAAAAATGTATGCAAAACCGATCTTACAGAAAGGTGTGTGGTACCGTAAAGGACATAAGGCAATGTTTGACTAATTTATTGTTGGCACATTTTTATTATTTGTTTCAGTGCCATTAATTATACCAACAATTATGCAATTTTGCATGATTGTTGTTATAATAATTCTGCATGCGTGGCTATAAATGTTGAGTTGTTGGGTGTTGACAGGAGCATCTTATTTGGATTTAAAGTGACAGAGGTCCTAAGACAGTTCATCCTCAGAGGAGCTCAAAAAAACTGAAATCTTATTATCTTAGAATGATTTTTGTAAAAATGTAATGAACATGTCTGGGTAGCCCATAGACCTATCCTGACCTATCGAGGAGCTACAGTTGGTCATCTTTAAAGCAGTTTTTTTGTCCCTACCACCAGCAGGAGTTGTTTCCTGTTTAATACTCAAATTCAAGACATTGATCTGAGAGCAGCTTGACTTTTAAACACCTCCCCCTCTTCCCTGGATGATACAGGCTGACTCCGCACACGCTCGTGGGAAACTTCCACCCCCTCACCCGTCGAGTGTCCCTTTGACTGGAACAGCCTGCTCTTGCCAGGAAGCTATCAGTGTATTAATAGGTGTTTTGGCCACTTTGGTTCCAACTATCCCCCCGCTTCCAAACTTGCTGTCCAGTTTTCATAACACAAGCAACAACCTGTTCTAGTCATTAACATGACTGAGATTTACTCAATGTAAATCTGAGTTGATTTCTTACAGTATGACCACAAAGACTGTCTCCTGTTTTACCTCTTTGTCTTTAATGTTTTGTGCATTTTCTATATTCAAAGCATGTTTCTGTGACTATTGTCCTAACTCTGATGTCTCTTTAGTCCACTTGAATATTTTTCGTGCTGAACCTTTCAGTTTGCTTATGTTGCAAATTTCACATCCAGCCACTAACAACCAACTTATGTTGATTTATCTTCTTCAAAGAAGATAAAGTAACTTTGATGTTAGCTATTTCCACTAACATCAATGTGCATCCAATTTTTGTGGGACCGTTTAATGCAGGGCTGAAACGATTAGTCATGTTAATTATGACTGTGAGAATCGATTATTGAAATAATAGTCAAAAAATTTGGTAATCAATTAATTGTTTATGTGTAAAAAGACTAAAAACAAGCCATTTGCTGAAAGGATGTTATTTGCATTTAAAATAAAAAAAGCATTCTTTTTCTGTAAATATGCTCCATTCAGAACAGATTGATCGATTTATCAAATGATCAATACCTGCAGCCCTAGTTTGATGTTGAAGGAATAACACATTCAAGTCGCCTCACCTCCAACCCCAATACAAAACGTGAAATAAGTACAAATATCTGTAAAATACACAGAATCAGTTATTGTGGCACACTGAAAACTAACCCCAAGCTCGGTTAGTATTTAGATCATCTTGATGTTTTCATTCTAAGCCCATGATTGGCTCAGCAGCAGGTAGCCTTGTTCAGGAAAAATACCACTGGCTAATCTACTTACCTTACTCACATAACTGGCACTCCCCACCAGTTATGTGACGGGGGGTGCCAGTCACTTCTGTCAATTCTTCATTTACAGATTAAAGGAGCTGTAAATGAAACATCTGAAACTGAGCTGAAGACAACACCAAAGGTTATGTTAGGAATTATTGCAGAATAATACAATAGATATTAAAAAACTGATTGTTGTTGTTATGAAGAAAAAAAAATTGTCATAGCTATTAATATTGATGACTCATGTCTGAATTATTGGCCATTTCAGATATGGGTTGACTCAACAGAACCTGTAGATATGTTATTGATAACTCCTGCCAGAGTCACTTTCCCTTTGTGAGCTCGTTGAAAGATTTTAGGGTGAAAACTGAACTATTTCCAATTACTGTTAAGTTTACGTTCTATTAAAAAAAAGAGTTAACATGCCAAAAGTCTGCTGTTCAAAAGCTTTTCTCTTT